ATGAAATCTGTTTGACGGCTGCCAGTACATGAAAATCTTTTGTGTAATTTATTCTGCCTTGAAATGTATCTAACTGTGTATCTGTCTATTTATCTGTCTACGTATCTGGATCCAATACATTTGCCTGTTTTGAAATCAGACACCCAAAACCAATAAAAGAAAACAGTGGGAGCGTTTCCACGTTAGTCACACTTCTAATTCTGTTCTGCGAGCATGGGTGAACCGGTCGGCGTCATCCATCGTGTCCAGCACACGTAGGAATCAGAGCAGGGCTGGAGCTGAGTTTGTTTCCCCTCCAACTCTGACGGTGGCAGGATTTTGCTTTGCATCACAAAAAGGACTGAGAATACTTACCCCGATTGTGACATCACACCTGCCTACACCGCACACGGCCCGGAGAGAGACGAAGAGAAAGTGTGACAGAGGGAACAGAATCTGTCACGTTAACTTTAGAACAGGAAATAAACCAGTTTTACTTTCATCGTCTGGTCTAATAATGACCTCCGTCTCTGACGTACCTGGAAGGTTTAAAATTAGCAAGCTGAGTACATTTAATTTGGATGTCAATGTTCTCCACTTGCTGATAAATTAGAAAACAGTTAGAAAAATAACATCACTTTTTAAATTGTTCATCTAAAACTTCTCCGTAAATTGATAGGCTCTTGGGAACCAAGGCGCGCGTAAACAAAAGTATTTTCAAACAGTTTTCTTACAGATGTATTTCTTTACCTCCTCTTTTGTGCACGCCCTCTTTTCTTTCCCTCAGCCTCCGAGCAACACTCATCCAGTGACGCCAAAGTGCCGGGTGATGGTTCAAGAGTTGATTTTCAAACACTGTACCCATGTCTGTGTCTTTTCCATCTGGATGTTGATCTGTTTTTCACACTCTTTTAAAAGCCTCTATATATACACGCACTTGCGCGTCCAAAAAAAAAAAAAAAAGATCTTCGGGGACGAATCAGAAGCGGCTGCCACGTCTTCTGAAGGATCTGCGGCTGCATGTGCTCGAAGAGCAATAAAGAGGGTTTGAGGGGGAGTGTGGGAGGCGGCTGTAACGCCGGACAAAGGCAATCACCGGCTCATAATGACTATTAAATCTAACCAAAAATGGAAGAGAGCCTGATCCTCCGCATTCTGCTTTTGAGGCTGGAACACCAACTTCACAATGATTGTGTGCATTATGCAACAGTATCCAATCCATTCCCCCATTCTCCCGGTAATCTAAATACTGCAGGCTTTTAGTCATCTCAGGCCCGCCTTGCAATTGATACTCTTACAGCATAGAAATGACTCCAAGCTCTATTAATCAATATTTGATGTCACAGTAGCAGAGGGGCTCCAGGGAAAAACTGGACTTTTTTTTTTTTTTTCGTTGCTAGTTTTGGTTTGAAAGCGACGCGAAGGCTGCACATCGGCGCAACGGAATGTTGTTTTTCTTTCAGTCTGATTGCCTCTCTTTTCAGCCCACAAACTCTTATCAGCCTCATTTCTGGCTGCAGTGAGCAGAGGCTTTTTATGAAAACAAGCTTTGGTAAAAACTACTTTAAGAAAAAAACACTTGTGCAGCAACAAATGGCATGGTTAGCAACTGGAAAACAGGGTGTATCCAGGGTGAGAAGCCATCCGAATTAAGAGAGGTGTAGTATTTTCATTCTTTGTAATTAGTGTGAACAGCTGCAGAGGAGTGCGAATTGGACTTTAACCTCTCAGGAAGACAGAGGAAAAATGCCAAATGAATTTTAATATTGCCAGGAAGCCCTGACGACTTAAAATTAATGATGTTGAGTAGCGTTTACAACTTTTCCTTCTGTCCATGTTCAGCGAAGAATATCAGGAATATCAATCAAAGCGTTTGTAAGAGGACATTAAATAGAAAAATAAATTAATCATATCCATTATGTTTTACACTCTATCTATCTATCTATCTATCTATCTATCTATCTATCTATCTATCTATCTATCTATCTATCTATCTATCTATCTATCTATC